CGCAGGCTTCGCGGGACGTCGCCGGGGGCCCCGCCTGGGAGCGGGCCCCGGTGTGGGCGCTGGAGCCGGACCTCGTGGGCAGGAACTCGGCCCCTCCGTGGGCCGCTCGGAGCAGGAACGAGGGTCTGGTCAGGCCACCGGCCGCTTTTGTGGTGTCATTTCACAGTGACAGGGGAAATCACTTCGTGGTGGGAAACTTACTTGCTGGTCCGTGTTTTCAACGACGTGTCATTGCGGGTGACACGTTTCTGCCGTCAGCTCCGAGCTCAGGGCAGCAGGAGTGCTCCCTAGGGCTCCCCAAGGGGCCTGGACGCTCCGGGCTCCGCCGCTCTGTCCGTCACCGAGGCTGCTTGGGCCGTTAAAAGACGGGCAGGTGGCAGGTGAATGGCCACTGTCCTGCACGGGGGCCGCCGGCGAGGGGGCGCAGCCAGGGCTTGGACAGGGGGCCACCGAGCCCCGAGGGGCCTTGTCCCGCACCGCCCTGTGCACTGAGCCCAGCTGGCCGGCAGGGAGGACACGCCCCTGGTGGCCGAGATGCTGAGCGCCGCGGCCTGCATCCAGGGCAGGAGCATCATGGAGAACCTGAAGGGGAGGAAGCAGCTGCGCCTGGCGGCGTCCAAGGCCTTCATGGAGAGCGTGAAGTGTGTGGGGGGCTGGCGGTCCCTGAGGCGCGGGTCCTGGGGTGGGGCTGCCCCCGGGGCGTGTCCTGAGGTGGGGCGTGCCCACGCAGGGGCGGGCACGAGGGCTGTCCTTTTCTGGGTCCATGGACTTTGGGACGGGCCGACGCCCGGCCGGCGCCTGCCCACCCAGCGCCTGGCCGCAGGTTCGGGGGCGTGGCGGGCAGCAGGGCGCTGGTGATGCAGGCCGCACGCCACTACTGGAACTCGGTGCTGCCGGCGCTGGGCTCGGCGGGGGGCCGCAGGAAGGTGCACAGCGCGGTGCAGAGGATGGTCAGCATCATCAACAGGACAGAAGCCAGAGAGCAGGTGCTGCCCTGGTCACACGGCGCCGATGGGCAGGTGCAGGTGTGGGCAGCCCGCCCGGTGGGATCCGACAGCACCCACAGGCAGAAGCCCGCTGCGGCCCGCACAGACCGAGGGAGGGGGGCTGGGGCCGCGCCTGTGAGGACAGTGCCCAGGCTGTGTGGGGGCAGCGGGCACTCCAGGCCCTGTGCCCACTAGGGGTCCTGGCTGCCTCCCTGGCCCTGAGGCACGTGGGGGTGGGGCAAGCACCGGCACCTTTGGGAGCCCGGGCGGTGGCCAGGGCAGGGGCCTCCTGTGGGCCCAGCCGCTGGACAGAGGGCCAAGGCCTCGCGTGGGCACAGAGCCCCGGGCAGCACTGTGTACCCCGAGTGCCCCAGTGCCTGGGGAGGCGAGGTGTGGCCAGGAGGGCCGTGGTGGGCGCTGCCCTGGCTGAGGTCCATCACGGGGACGCTGCCTGGCAGGCGCTGGGCTCGCCTCTGCGCTACCCACGCTGCTGGCCTGTCCCTTCCTGGGACACGCTTTCCTGACTTTCGCACCCAGTGGCACCAGCCTCGCGGACCCAGGGAGCGCATGTCCCTTCTCCCTGTTTATCATGGGTGTGGGGCGTTCCGCCCCGGCTCAGTGTCTTGCTCTGACCTGCTGGGCGCTGTCCAGAGCAGCTGGCCTTGCAGGCAGGCAGGCGGCTGACCCAGCTGCTGGGGGCGTGTCGTCACAGGCACTGTCCCCTGAAGCGGGGAGACCTGTGTACCCCAAGTGTCCCCGCTCGCCTTTGTGGCCAGCTCCTCCCTCCCCCGCAGCCCACCGCAGGGCCCTGGAGTGGCCGGTCCTTCAGAGGACTGCCCCGCCTGGGCTCTGCGGGCCGGGGTGACCCCTCTGCAGCAGCCCGGCCTCCTCCAGGCACCAAGTGGCCCTTGACCTGTGAGGCCGCAGCAGCCGCTCCGGCTCGGCCTCCCCCTCGTCCAGCTACTCGTGGCCTGGCCTGGCGGCCCTCTGGCCCCGCGGTGTAGTGCCCGAGCCGAAGCAGGCACAGGGTCACCCCCACCCCGTTCACCTCCCGGCCGCCCCCCCACTTGCTCTTCTACAGGTGAAAGGGAAAACCCTGCAGCTGCACCCCTGGCCATCGGCGGACTTCCAAAGTGCTGGCACCACTGAAGGCTACTTTGCCCCAGGTCTGTGGGCACGAGCGGGACCCACCCACCGCCCTGCCCACTGCGCCCACATCGCCC